CTGCTCTCGCCAAGCTCACGCTCAAGGCCAAGGCCCTGCACGCGGGCATCCAACAGAACCTGGACCATCTGCGCGAAGAGCTCAGCGCCTATGCCCGAACGGGCGGGGAAAGGGCCCACCCGGACCCCCAGGCGCTGTCCCAGGAGGTGCGCCAGCGCCTGCAGGCTTTCCGCCAAGACACTTTCCTGCAGATCGCCGCCTTCACCCGCGCCATCGACCAGGAGACGGAGGAGGTCCAGCAGCAGCTGGCGCCGCCCCCACCGAGCCACAGCGCCTTCGCCCCCGAGTTCCTCCCCGCTGACAGCGGCAAGGCCCGGAGCAGGCTGCAGGCCCGTCTGGAAGACCTGTGGGAAGACATAAACTACAGCCTTCGTGACCATGATCTGGGCCATGGAGGGGAGCCCTGAGGGCCTGTTTGTCCGGGCCCACTTCCCAGCTCCTTGTTCGGGGAGCCCCAAGCATGGTTCAGTCCTCGACAGTGGCCTACTGGGCAGAGGGTGGAGGGCCCTGCAGGATGGGTGAGGCCACCGAAGGGGCAGTTGTCCCTTGCCTACCCAGCCTCCTGCGAGTGAGTCCCCAACCCGGATGCATTACACTCACCAGGATTTGCGAACCTGGCTTCCCGTGCTCATTTGGGAGTCCTCCCGAGTTGCCCCATTCGGTGCTGGCGGGAGTGGGAAGGGAGACAGGCGCTCTATGCGGGGGAATTAAGTGCCAGCCCGTGGCCATGGTGCTGGAAGCCTGTCTCTTCAGGCCCGGGCTTGGCTGCGACCACTCTGGCCCCCTGGTGGCCACTACTGCCGCTGTCCCGAGAGCAGCTCCTCTCCCCAGGGCTGCCACGACAGCTTCTGTTGGAGAGAAGGGAGAAAGGAGGAGAATGTGAGGAGAGAGCATGTGACTGTGTGTGTGTGTATGTATCCCTGCGCGCTCTGATGCTGGTGGGTACAAATGATGGGAGTTGTAATGGGAGGGAGCAGGGCCCATATTTTCTTACATAGCTCTGCTTTTAAACAGCCGCCCACGCCTCCAAACTGTGGGAGCTTCCTAAACCCTCTGGGGAGTCTACGAGGTGCCCTCCCCATCTCTGACGCTCAGACTGAAGCCTAGACTTCTGACTCCATTGAAATAGATGTTTATAATGGAAACTGGTCTGCCTGGTGTGACTCTCATTCGGACCATATCTGAAAGCAGTGCCCTCACCACTATCCCCAAATCACACCATCGGCCACTCCAGGCCCCTGCTGTACTTTCTCAGGGACCCCCTTTCAGTGCGAGTCTGCCAGAGGGGCCTGGGCCTGGCTGTGCTCTGCTTTAGGGGAGAGCTGTGTTGGCCTGGGGGTGGGCGTGGGCTAGCGACCTTCCTCTGCACCTGCATCGTTCATGGGCCGGCTTGGCACAGGACAGTGTGCCTCACCTGCAGGCTCCTGAGGTGGCCTCTCCCTTTTGTTCCTGCTGTTCCAGATTTTGAATGGCCCTGTTTTATGACACTGGCCCTCTTCTTGGGAACCCCAAACTCTTAAACCCCCCAGTCCCCACATATAGATTCACTTGGAGGCAATGAAGCTCCTCATAGGTCCTCTGAGAACCCTGAAGCTGGGGGTAGGTGAAGTGGGGGGTAGTGGGCAGGGTAAGCACACCCCTTCCAGCGCCCTTTCAGTCCAGCTCAGTTGGCCCTGTACCTCCACACTCCTCCTAACACAGACCCCACATGAAGCTGGCTGCATCATGCCGCAGCCTAGATCTCTACCCAGACATCTGGATTTAGCAACAGAACTGAGAGCGGTACCCAGGGAGAGGAGGTGCTGGAAAGGAAAGTTTACCCCACTCCCTCCAAATAAAAGGTGTTTTTGTTGTTAGGAAACTGGGAGGGGTAGTCAGAGGGAGCAGATGTGGTAGGGATGAAGGGGTGGAAGTAAAACTGAGGGTTGTGTATTTGAGGCTGGAATTTGGGCAGGTGTTTATGAGGACAGAAATAGGGAGTGAGAAAAACAGAAAGGGAGAGAGGGACTGAGGGACTAGAGCCGCAGCATCACCTGGTCCAACAGTGGATCGAAGGAAGCCCAGGATGTCAGCAAGAGGCCTGGTTCCTGTGGTCAAACACTGTGGCCAATAGTTAGAACCCTGTGCGATGGAGACACTGTGAAGGAGCGAACACTGCCCTGGCTCTGGGAGGACGTCCTGGTGAAGTGACACCTGAACTGAGGTAGAGGCAAAGCCTGAATCCGGCTATGGAAGTTTGGATCATATAATCCTGGCAACAGGGAAGCCCCGTACTGCTCTCTAAGGGCCCAGAGTTGCCTGGTCAGGGTGGCTCAGCTGCTTGGGCGTAGGCCGGTGAACTGAAAGGCTGCCTTTGCTGGCTGGATCCCTGGTGGGTGTGCAGGAGGCAGCCCATCAGTGTTCACTCTCACATCCTCACATTGATGTTTCTCTTCCCTCTCCCTTCTTGTGAA